ACCTTATAGGACATGTACAGTAGTCCCTGGAAGACAAAGTTCTATTTTGAAATGAGCGTATTTAGAATCAGTTAATGAATATAAATATGTGTTGCATATTTGAAATTCCGTGTTTTCAAATGTCTGAAGACTTTTTCTTTGAGAATTTAAAAAGGAATATTTATAACTCTGTGTGATGGTGAAGAATAAATAATAGAATCTGAAAGTGTAAATCATCCTTAAAAGACATGTGACACCACTTTCAGGCTGAAACCCTGACACTGAGAAGGGGAGTTCATTTGCAAAGCCGTACTTTGAGCAGAGGGGCCACACATTATTAACTGCAATATCCTTTCTCTGTTCAAAATATCATGGCTGCAAAAGGTAGGGATATTCGAGCATGTTGTGTTTTGATATGCTGACATAAACATGTCTTAAGAATTGCTTGCAGATATTAAGCTGATTTTCAGAAGTCTATGAACAAAGGCCCTTAAAAAGAAATGAACGCTTTTCAATTTGTCACTGGGCTAGTTTAGAACCATTTTGTCTTCATTGTTCTAACAAGATAACTCACAACAAACCTGATTCAGCCTTTATCATTTCAAAAGTCTATTGGCTAAACGATGGCACAGATGTTTAGTAAGCACAGCAATGGGGCCAAGTCATGATCTTTAGACACAAGAGGAGAAAAGGCAGTCTCTGGCAATATGGTGTTCTAAATCCCAGTGGAAGCTGTGGTGTTGGTGTTCACACAGCTCTCCAGGCAGGTGGGCTCAGGGGAGTACCTGTCCAGGTGCCACCTCCAGATTTCACCTGGAACCACACCCTGCTAACCAGGGTTGGAAGAAAGGTGTTTCTGCAGTCTCTGTAAGGTGGCTAATCCCAAGAGGCCAACATGAAAGGAGGGTGCGGTTTGGCCTTTTGCCTGATTGTAAGAAGGGTTTTTGACTTCTGCAGAATCCCCATTAGAGAGATGCTCCTGCTGTCAGAGTCCCTGCAAAGAAGGATCCTGGAGGACCGTTCCCTCCAGAGGCTCCTGAGATACTGAGGCCTCAATCCAGTGGGACATCAGTTTAAGGATTCTATTGAAATGGGAAATAACCTTGAAACACCCTTTCTGTGACTTTTTTTCTTCAAATCACTAATCTGATATGAAGTTGAAGACAATGACAACTACATCTATTGTGTCCCTGAAGAAGCATTTACTCCTCCATCTCAAAAGAGAGCAAGCAGAATGCTCCCATGGTGTTAGAATGTATGGATTCTGTATTGTGTGTATCCTCACCCATTATTTTACTAGCTCTCCAAGATTATCAAAATGATTCACAAAAGAGAATAGTGCCAATATCTCAACAAATACAAACTCTATTTCCTGAAAGTCTTCCATGTTTCTCTCTCTCTCTGTGTTATACCACATATGCATTTACATGTATATGGGCAGACATGCATATGCATGTAAACGTAGAAGCCCAGATGATACCAAGTGTCTTTGTCAGTTGCTCGCTGTATTTATTGGCGAATTAACCGTTGCTGAACCCAGCCAGCTCAGATTCCATAGACTCTAGCTGGTCCACCCACTCTGTTTCAAATGGATACTTGGGGATTTGAACTTCAGTTCCTATGATTGTTGTGCAAGCACTTTATCCACTTAGCAGATGCTTTTCCCCATCACCAAACAGACTTTAACATGAAATATTTTTCATTTCTACTTTATGTTTTAATATGAGCAGAAGTAATTGGGGAGTAAGTTAATTTTCCTTTTAACTTATCTGCCTTTTCATTGAAGCGGCCTATTAATAATACAATCAGTGATAATTTACTTCCTGGTCTTTTTCCGCCACTCCCTGCTCATCTTAAATCTGTGAAATGTGTTGGTTTTTACAGTTCTCTTTAAAAATGCTAGAGGATGAATTAGGTCTCTAACATACATGTGAAATTGTTGAGTCTCTGAAAAGACCAGTGGTATCAGTAAAATGCAAGATAAAGAACCCTCTCTACTTCCAGTGCCTGTGCATCAAAGGCTTGGTGCATTCTGGCTCAGCCGTGGTGCTGTACATTCACTTGACGTCCACAGAAAGAGCATTGTATATTAGAGCACACAGAACATTTTTCTTCGGCCTCGATTAGTTCTCAGGCTGTGCCCAGAAAGCTTGGCCTAAATTTTCCCATATTTCACATATCCATATTTACATCAGTTTTCCCCTCTCATTTTTCACCCCCCAAACTTTTCCACGTGCCCTTGACCTCTGATCTCTCTTCAATTTATGTTTTCTTGGTTATTACTACATATATGTATAAATTCACAAATATGTAAATATGGCCTGCTCATTCAGCTTAGTGCTGCTAAGCCCCTATTGTTTTTCTCCCATTTCCCTCTTCATATCAGTTGTGTCCTGCTATATCTATATCAAATACTCCCTAATCTCACACTAATTTTTTTCCTGGTTTCTGCAGTTACTCTAGGTTATATACTCAAATCTAAAGATTTGAAGCTAGGAATTAAATGATGAGAAAAATCATGCATTATTTGTACTTTGGGGTATAGATGACTATGTTCAGTATAATATTATCTGGTTCCACCTATTTAGCTGCAAATTTCTTGTTTCTTTACATACCTACAGTAGCTTCATTGTCTATATTCATATTCAACTATCATTTAGAGAGAGATTCAGTCACAATTTTCTCCAAGACAAGAAATCAGTTGGAACTGCACAGAACCAAAATTTTGAAGTTGAGAAAGAATCTCTACACATTCTCTGTAGATAATACTATCCTCCTTGTGGATTATAGTCTGCAATAGATCCCAGGCTTGGGAAAACTGCTCAGCTTCCACATGCAGTTAGTCTGCTCTTCTGGTCTTCTCCCTTGGCAGCATCCAGATTAACTTGAGTCCTCATTTGGAGCAATCATCCACGAGAAGAGGAAGATCAGAAAGTGTGTTAGGAGACAAAAGATGCCTCTTAAGTTCACGAACTTGTTGCACTTTGCTTTCTCTTGAGTTTGTGTAAGCACCTCTTTATCACCATTTAAGAAACTGTTCCCAATCAAAGCCTCTCTTGAGATCCCAAATCAGATTTCTGTCACCATGCCTCAAACTCAAATTACCCCACACTGAGAAGACAGTTCTTTTCCTGTGCAGAGTCAGTCTCTTTGCTTTGATCAAAGATGCTCAGGTTGTGCCTCCCATTAACAGGTACTTTAGTTTGAAGACATGTTGCATCTTCATACTCTCACTAGAACCTGTCCAAAGTTTTATCTATTGAACAGTCCTCCATTACTAGTAATTGTACTTTTTCTGACGAGGGAGGGGGATTTGATTTGGGGAGGGGGAGGGAAGGGGGAGGCGGCGGTGGAGAAGAGACAGAAATCTTTAATAAATAAACAAATAAATAAAAATTAAAAAAAAACTAAATGGAAATAAAAAAATATTTTATGCGGCAAAATTTATACCAGAAATAGTTACAAAACCCTTTTTCTTAGTGCATTACTGCATTAACTGCAAACCATTTCTAAAATAAGAGTCAAGAGACAATAAAATAAATTATGTCATTTATTAGTCAGAGATTCATTAAGAAATTGACTTATATAATTAGAATGAGTTCCAATCACAAATAAATCACAGCATGTAAAATGCAAGTGGTAAATTGTGCTTGACATTTGTAGATATTCTGTGTAAGAATTAAAACTAAATGCTTATGTTCATCAAACAAAATGTAGACAAAAGCATATTTAAAAACATGACTATGCCATGTATTTGTGGTTTAAGACTATGCCTATTAGATTTATCCATAAATAAGCAAAACCAAAGAAGTTGGGTGGGAAGGGAGTTGAGGGTAGGCAGAGTAGGTCTAGAAGAAGTTGTGGGTGTTGACAAATATGATCAAAATACATCATATAAAATTTTCAATTAGTTAATATATTATTATTAAAGAGAGATAAGTTTAAAATATAATTAACAATCAACATCAGATTGAAATTCTCATATAAGGTTAGGTTCAAGACAGTTATATCCATAAAGCATTTGATCCTTTAGGCTGCAGATTATTCAAAAGCTTCATTTATTTACCTACAGAAAGGAAACAGACAGTAACCCTAAATGCTAATGATACTAATCCAGCTACAAGCATATCACAAAATTAGTGCAACTAAAGAGGAATGTGGTCACAACCAAGGGGGAGAGAAAAGCCTATTATTGCAAATCATTTGAACCATACAAAAGTGCCCATCTCATTCAGAAAGGGACAGAGATTTTGTTTGTGATTTTATGTTGTAGATGTTACGTTGTAGATGATTAATTTGTTCCCTGAAGAGAAAAGATCAAATTATGAAAGTCAGAATATGCAATCAAATAATGAATTTCAAGTTTCTTAAACATCAACAAAATGATATTCTCTATATTACTCAAAATTGATTAGCAATTTCAAGATGTGATTACAAAAATACATGGTAATTCCTCAGATGCTACCCTTCACAATATAAGTCCAAATAAGTTATAAGTGGAATGTAATTTCTATACACCAGGCTTAGACCAAGTTGCTTTGAAACAAGCTCAAAAGTTGTGATACATGTGTGACTGTTCTTTTTGTGCCAAATGCGCTGAGCTGAACGTGAGTATTTCCTCATGGCATGCATCACATGACACAGCACTTAAACAATGCAGCGTAAATATCTGAGAGCTATATTTTTTTCTTGACTTTCAAAATAATTGCGTTGTTTATTCAATTGTTAGTAGAGTAACACACAATCAATTCTAATGTTCAGCTTGGTATTCTAAAATTAGATTGATGTCACCCACTAGAGACATGGATAATAGAAAGTAAAAGGCAAACCTTTGGAAAGAAAACTGTTAGAAGTTCTATTGCTCCATAAGTTATAAAAAATAGTCCAGCAAATTAAACTAGCTCCTTCATGGATAATAAGGAAAAATGACTAGCATTAAAGATTATATCATAGATCCTTTGAATTGATGATCAAACTAAATCAGAGAACCAAAAAAAAAAAAAAAGAAAAAAAAAAAAACAAAGGAACACACCTTTGTTACAAAGAATTCCACACAGTGAACGTTTCCGACACAGATTCTGTGAACTGAGTAACTGAGATGGAATGGAGAGAGAAAGAAAAAGAAAACAGCAATAGTGTGTGTGCATACAATACAGGTATATGTTCATGATATGTGCTTAATCCTGGGAAGAACAGGGTAGAAAGGAAACAAACTTTTGTGAACACTTCTTTAATCTAGAAAGCAAGAAATCCTTGATGTTAGTATTTGCATTTAAGCTATGCATAGTTTGAAAATTAACATGTCTTTATTGGTAGATGCAAATGACTCTCCCATGCAAAACCGACATGTCCTGAAGAACATCCTGATCAGAACAGAACTGATGATGCCAAGTATGTATTGCTTATAGTCCTTTTCCTTGTTCTGATTGTATGTAAGGTTCACCCTACATAATATCTGCATCACTTATTAAAATTAAGAGGAAGAAAAGGCTGGGATAAAGCTGATGGATCATGCACTCCACTCAGAATGTTAGTGATCACGTAGTCCAACTTCTATATTCTAGAGTTAAGAAAACTAAATCTTCACACATATGAAGTATCTTTCTCAAGGTTAACCTGTGCAGAAGTCCGGAACTCAGGACATATTTCACAGTGCCTTGTCTAACATGGATACTAAGTACCCTATACATATTATGGGGGATTGTAGAGTGAAGAATACAAAAGGAAAAGACAATGACAAAGGCAAGCTGCTCTTCCAGTGACAGAGCTGTCCGGGTCTGTGTAGTTTAGGAAATCTCCCCACCTCTTTTAAAATTAAAGTCCTTCGAAAACAGTTTGAACCATACTCCTCAAAGAAACCATGCCAAGTGCCAATAGAGGTAGCACACAGCACTTTAAAGTCGCAGTAATCCTTTCAACTGCTATAATTTGTGTTGCTTATCAGTGAGCTTAGCATTGTTGGAACTTGGACAATATCAATGATTTGCTCTTCCCAGGACATAATGTTACTTACATCAACACTGGGTCTTTAGTAGTGCCAATAAGAAGATCCCTCAATTTGTGAACACTTAGTAGTAAGGGTGTGAAGCAGAAATAGGGCTCATTCTAAAAGTATTTTTCAGAAATAAAGACAAAGAGGGGAGTAATAGAAGCATCATATAGACCACTTGGCCAAAATGATAGGCGGTAAAACTGGCCATAGTTGAGATAGTACATTTTGATCTTGAAAATATATGTGATTAGAAAATACATCTTCATGTGTCAGACAAAAAGAGAAAGTCAACTGCAGGTATGGACATGTAAACAAGTAAAATGCAAGTAAAAGAAGAGCAGATAGATACCTATTAGTATGGTTTCCTGACAACCATATTCTGCAGATTTAAGTAAGTAACCTAAAGGAACACTGGCAGTGGCAGAAGGCAGGCAAACGCTGTTGCGTTCTGAATGGTCAAGTCCATGTGAAAGAGATCTTTGTAAACAGAGGTCCTGGCAGTACTCTGTGATAGAAGAGGGGTCACTAAGGTTGCTTAGGGACCCAGGTAAACTTCCAGCCTCCCTCCTCATCTCGGCGCACAAAGGCTTGTCCCTGGTGGAAAGAGTGTGTTTTCACATTGCAGTGAGGGCTCAGTGATGTGGAAAAGGCCACTTCTGTCTTGTTGGGTGACACACCTCCACTGTGGAAAGCAAGTGTTTGCACCCCTACCGGAGGATTGGAAAGCCTAGAAAAGCAGTGACAGTCTTGCTGAGAGATGGTGTTGCCATGGGAGGCATGTATTCTGTTCTCTCCACGGTCAAGGTGCAGATTTCTAGGAATAGTTTCAAAGCCAACTGTGTCATGTAGAAATTGGGAGGATGTACTGGGGACTGTTCTGGGATGGAAGGCAATGGCACTGTAGTTAGCTGGAAGGGTGTCGTCAATGGTGTTGAGGTCTTTCAATCCAAGGGTTTGAAGAACCCAGGGGTCCACACAGGGCCCGGATTGTCCTTCACAGTTAGAAAACTCTGTGGAGAGGTTTCTCTTGGCAGTTTTGGACTGGGGTATCTCAGCAGGGGGATGTCTGTGTTCTTTGGGTTTCCTCTTCTCTTTTCTGAGTTTCCCACACACTTTGGAGAAATCATCTGATGAGAGCAATTTCTGGAAAAGCAATATTTGAAAATTGTTCTTCCATTGGATATTTATTATTTGCCCATTTGCTTAGGAGAAAAATGGCTAAATGTCTGCTGTGTTCCCACACAAGTCAAAGTAATCAATTTGCTACTGTTTATTGAGTAAACATCCTTAAAAAGCTGTTGCTTTAATTAATTCTCTTTATTCAGTTTTTAAATATTGAAGGAAGCAAGTGACATCGGTAAGATTTCAACTAAGAGAAATAAAGGCTGATACTAATAGCAGCTGCCACTTATTAAACTATTAATAAGTAAGTGAAGTAAGATCATATTTATAGACCATTGCTGGTATTTTTTCATAAGATGCAGATGCTCTTAAATAATTAATAAATAAAGACACAGGCATATTAGTGATCATCTCACTGCTCCTTAGCCTAGATGTAAATCTTATGCCTCTGAATCTAGACAGATCCTCTGATTTCAGCACTCACCGTCTCCTAATTTTATCATATTAATTTTCAAAGTACTCCCATGTTGTGTGCTATATTTTTCTAAGTTTAGAAAAACTGATATTGAGAGAGTTAGAAATGATGTATTAAGATGACTTAGTTATATTTTATGGATTGATATCTGATGTTAGGATCCCAGACTAATAACTGTACAGACGTGATTGTTTTAGTCAAGGCTAACTGGATTGCAAGGAGTCGAATTTGATGACTCTCTCTGAACTCCAATGCAGGAGATGACATCGAAGTTAGAGAAAATAATGCCATAGTTTGCCTAGAAAGCAGGTAAAACTGATGATAGACATAGTAATGAGAATGATGGCAAATGCAAACTGAAATGTGAAAAATTGAAGAAAGGAAGAATAAAAGGGTTACAGTTGAGCTAGTTATCTGTGAGTTAAAGTAGTTCATCTAAAAGTGTAGATAAAATGATAGAGTGTTTGAATATGTCTAATCACTAGTGGAGAAGCCTTGGAGCCCAAGTATATTCATAACATTTCTGATTCTCTCTGTCTCTTTTTCATTCTTCCTGTGTATGTAGGTCTCCTGTCTCCTCTCTCTCTCTCTCTCTCTCGTGTGTGTGTGTGTGTGTGTGTGTGTGTGTGTGTGTGTGTAGGTTAGAGGTTGAATTGAGTGTTTTCCTCTATATTTCAGTCAGTGTCTTTTTTGATCTTCCTAGGCTTGTGGCCAGTGGGATGCAGGGAACTACTTGTCTCTGCATCCCTGCAATCTACTGTGTTTGGCTTAATGTGAGCCTTTCAGGATCCAAACTCAGTTCTTTCTAGATGCATATAAAGTACTGTACTTAGCCATTTTCACAACTCCCAGAGAGATTCTTACCAAGGCTCCTGGCCCATCCATTTGCCAATTACAATAACAAAGGCCCCAAGGATGCTAGCCTGTTTAGTTGACATCTAACACATATTTAGAACTGCTGATTTTTTTACATTTTATTTCTACTCCAATATTCTACCCTTTATTAACCTCAGCAGTCTTAGCAATTGCTCTGTTTAACTTTCATTATTAATTTCCTTTGTGATGTCGAGCTAAAAATCTGAAACTAGAAACTTCTGGAAAATGCTATCTAAAAATCCTGTTGAAGTTATGTATTTCTTTAAGGATAATTAACCGTCTTACTGACCCCTATGCAGACATTTTATTAGGTAAACTTCATCTGTTTCATCATGAGGTGTCACGTAGGGATTTCCTCTGTCAAGTCACTGCCTCGCGTTTGGAAAACAGATAATTACATACCTTTGCCCTTTCTTCCAGACATTTAACCAAAGTAGAATTCAGGTATTGTCTGAGGTGATTATTCTCTTCATGTAGCCTAGCAAGTTCTTCCTCCTTCTGTAGGAGAGTATCCTGGAGCTGCAAGATGCATACAATAGTGAAGGGTGCTCCCCTCTATTGGCTTTGTAACCTAATATTTCTGCACTGCTCCCCAACCTTCTTAAACCTGATTCATTCTTGTTTATTTTATGAACATAATTTCAAAGAGCCCTGGTCCTCCAGGTCTTAAATTAAATCTACACTCCCTACCACCTGATTGTTCAGTTTTGTGCACTGCATTTCCATTCATTGCAAAGTATTTGAGGAGATCAAATGACTCTCAAAAAATTGTAACCACAGGGAGTCAGGTGGTGTGAGGGAAAGTGAGCTGCACGGAACTGTTTAAATATAGCAAGCATGGTTAGAAGACTTGGTTGCACTCCTTCCTTTAACACTTCAGAAAATAAAAACAGGAGTTGTGACCTGGCTTTACCCAGCTTCAGATCACCCAGCCTGTGTGTCCAATAACTGAAACTGCTCATTTGGAACAACCACAAACGAGACCTGGAAGAGGAAGTAATTTGGGGGAAACATTTATCATCGGCCCTGCTCTCAAAGATGAGCTATGTTTATCATTTAAAACATGGCTGTATCTGTCCTCTGGTGATCCTCAGAGAAGGGTTGTAGCAGTATTCCACAGATAAGGAAAAGCAATTTGGTTAATTGAGAGGTCATCCATAGGTTTTCTTGGAGCTTTTGTTTCTGTGAACTTATGCATTTAACTTTAATCTATTCAGACACACAATTACTGTTGTGTGCCACAAAAAAAAAAAAAAGAAAACTGAGCTACTATGCATTAAAAAAGAAACAATTTAAAACTAAAAATCAACATGAAATAAAGAGAGACTCAGGGAAGAGTAGCCTTTGTAGAACTATGTTAGTCTCATTGTTCCCTCTCACTCCCTATGCATACCTGTTTATTTTTGTAGAGCTGAGAGGAAAGCTGAGCCTCTTCCCATGAACATGAATCCAGACCAGGGACACTGAGATCGCAAGATGCCTCTGTGTGAAAATACAGAAGAAATGAATGGACGTGTTTACAATTATGATGAAAACTCGCAGACAACTTCAAAGGTTTAATAGATTTAATTACTTTTATTTGCCACAGAAAAAAGTTTTAAAGATTTCAAGAAGAATGTAAGCAATTATTTATGTGCTACCTACAAAAGTGGCTAAAGAGATTTATTTTAGGAACTGAGCAGCTCTTGAAATGTATATGTACATTCTTGCTGGTTAAGTTAATAAAAGCTGTCCCTTCCTTTACAGAGACACTGACCCCGCCATTCCACTAGGCATAATATTGCAACTCCACCACTCCCTTCTAGCATTCATCCTATTTTCTGTGTTTCTAGCATTTGATAGCATTATATTTGACTCCATAATCAAACCCTGTGTTGCGGAGCCACATTTTCCTCTCACCCATTCTATTTTTGAAATCTGAAGGGCAAAATTTGTTCACGATTTTATGTCATGGTATGATAACATTTTTCAGTGTTTATTAAAGCTAGATACTAAAACTAGGACCTGGTTCATGACATGCTGGAGAAACACTCCATGGCTGAGTCAAATCCCCAAGTCTTCTCCCCATTGTCCATAGTGATCGGCTTCTTGCTACTCTAAAGAATTTTATGGAAATTTCACTGCTAAACTATACCTTGTTTATTTCTAGCATCCATATCTGCATTACTGTTTTTACACAGAAGTTTTGGTTTTTGTTTTTCAGAGTAATGCCCATCAAGGAAAAATTGATTCTGCATCTCAAGTACTTTAGTTTTCACCCCACAAACCTCAATCCCATTTGACCTGCGGGAATTCAAATGTCTTTATTGAACCATTTAGAATTAAGTTGGAATAAGTAAGAAAACAAAATAAAACTTGGGTTCACATTCTGAAACATTCCATGCCTGCTTTTGATTATAGTGAAAAATCAAAAACTGAACAACTTCCTCCTTGACATATGGTTCCTTTGTTTTGGGTTTTGCCTCAGCATCTTTTCATATCCCTCCCCACAGTCTCTAAAATAAGTGGGGGGGGGGCAGAATGAATGTACAGGTATTTAATTCTGAGGTGCCTGAAAGTTTTACGGAAACGAAGCATTAATATGGAAATCCCTGTAATGTGTGTAAGAATACTCATTAAGCTTCAGGTCAATGTTAGTGTTGTGTTTGATTTCCACCAACCTTGGACATTTCTCTAAAGCTGACTGCACATGTGAAGGGGAACTGATTTTTTCAGTGTATGAAGTACTGTTCACAAAATTTTTGTATGATGAAATAAACTTTGTTACTCACTCTTGATTTTTCTCTCAAAGTCACAAGAATCTCTCCAAATTATACCTGATATTTTGATTCCAAAAATGTTCTATTAGGTGCTGTTTATAAAACTGTACTATTGACCCAAAGTTACTCCTGATTTGGCAATCTCCAAGAATTCCAAAATCTAGGAAACAACACAAGTTGTCTAGCACAAAAGAGGAAGGATTTTATTTTTGCTAATTGATGAGTACAGAACAACCAGTTTTACTGCTAAAAAAATCCAGGAGTCTTAGCGCTTACTTAAATTTTCTATTTTTTCTGTTGAGTACCAGACCTCAATGCCTACAGTTACCTGGCTGTCAAAAGACCCATTCTACAAGTGAAGCAGAAGGGTAAAACTTACCCTGTGTCTGTGCTGCTTGTTGGGGCTCAGCGTTGTCCAGGAGACCAGCAGCCCAGAAAGAGACCCAAGTCTCCTTGGAAACATCAACACTAGATTCTGACGTTGTAGTGGAATACGGGCAATTATAACTCTGGCCTCCTACAAAATACTGATCTTGGCAAGGCAGAATGGTGTTCTTTGATTTTCAGTTTGATGGGGGTAGGGAAGATGGCATGATGGCAGTTGGGAGGGGGAGAGAGTGGGAGAAATAGAGAGAAATTACATGGGTGAAGAAAATAAACAATAAAAATGATAAGTACAGGTCCAGATACATATTTGAATGGTGAGATTATAATTACTAAAAAGGAAGGGGTTCTTTGAATTCCCCACTACTTTCTTAAGGTTATTCACCAAATAACTAGTATCAGATGGGTCCGGATTTGTAAACAACAGAGAAGCATTTCCTATTGCAGTGTTACCCAGAAATTAAGTAAAAAGAATTAGATCTCACTATTCAGATCATAAGCACCACTTGTTGCTCTGTAGCAAATATCTTGACTTGTATTTCTAAAAATCTTGAAATGCAAAGATCACAGACTACAATGGGTTAAGTGAACAGTTCTCCATGGCATCATTTCAAGGAACCTCCTAATGGAGGAGTCTGAATCAGGTGCATTTCTTACATGTGAATGAATAAACATGTATATGCATATAAGTTTACAAAGATGATCACATACATTTTAGCCCCAACTCCAGTCACAGGAGTGTGACATCAATTCAAGTACACCATCAAACATGAGAATAAAGGCAGTGGGTTCTGACCCCTCCATCATTATCATTCGGTACCCTTTCCAGGTTACTGTGCCACCAGTAGCTGCCTGGCATGCCTTTCTCCACTGTGTTCTGATTCAGTGAGCACCTTCCAGCTCCGCCTCACTGAGTCCTCCAACCTCAAATGTGGTCTTTCCAAATGTCCACACAGGGGCAAGCAGTCTACCTCCTTCCTAGCTTAAGCTGTCCACTGGCCCGTTCTTAATTATGTGTCAATGTTTAATCAAGTCAAAAACATTCCTTGCAGCAGAGCCCAAGTTTGGACAAACTCTGGCTACTCGAAGGTTGGTGTTGCTCTGAGGACTTTATTGGACATGACTTAGAGAGGGCAAAGGGTATGGAAAAGGAATAGGGTGGAGAAGAAGAAGGAGAAGAGGAGGAAAAAAAGAATAAAAGAACAAAAGTTATTATTATTGAGTCACTTGACTCACCGTAGGCCCCCACTGCCAGTGAGTGAAGACTTGAAAAGGTACACTTTTGAGGCAAATACAACTTGGCCAGTGCTGCCTGAAGAAATTCAGCCAAAAGTTTATCAAGTGCTATTTTCTTTTATTCTAAAAGTATGTTTGTGGATTCTTTTTTTTCCCCCGAGGTTATTCTTGGAATCAGAGCTAAGCTATTAAGCAACCAACACCTGAGAGGAAAACAAACCCCAAACACTCGTGAGGATTTCAAATCTAAGTGTTTGCAAATATGAGCATAATCTAGAGGAACAGGTGGAAGAAGGTCTGCACAGGGTGAGGGGAAAGGGGTGGGGCGGGGAAGCAAATATGCAGGAGAGGGAGCAGAGAATAATAAGGGGTGCGGGGGAACAGAAATGGACTATATTAATTGGAAAATACAAAGGCATCTCCCAGGGTAGAATACATTCTAAATGCAGTTTATTGTCTTCCAGGACCCCTGGGGTTCTGGCAGTGTGACTAGCTAAGGCCAGCTCCTCACTTACCATCTTGCAGAAGAAAGCGCTGCAGAAACTGGGCCCACTCAGCTTTTTCTTAATGCCAGAGTTAGCTTTAAATGGGACTGCAGAGAGGAAGGAGCAAGGTAGCGAGTTCTAATCCGCTGGAGCTGCAAGTGACGCGCGGGGCTCCCAGCGCGGGTGCTGCTCTCTGGTTTAGGGAGAGGCTGTCAAACAGGTGATGTGCCTTGGGAGCCGCCCAACCTAAGCCACAGCCACTGGAGCTCCGGAGACACCCGCGCTCGGACGTGAGACCTGCGGGACGTCTTGCGGGGGGCCAAGGAAGGACCCGAGGCTTCAGGTCACTGGGGCAGCGTCCGGGCAAAGTCTGTGCCTGTGTGAGCTGAGTCTAAACAGTTCACCTGGCGCGGTGGTGACTGGCGATGGGAACTCAGCTGCCTGCTCTCTCTGTGCCACGCGCCCAGCAGCCGGTAGGGCGGGGCTGGGCAGGGCGACTAGCCAGCCCCTGGTGGCATCCAAAGCCCAAGCCTTGGTCTCTCTGCAGCGCTAAGGAAACCCATCCAAGGGACCCTGGTGTGAGTGACGTCCTGTGCATACCCTGGTCGCAGGATAACAACAAATGACAGCAACTTAATAATAAAGGCAACTTTATTTTCTTTTATTTTGTTAATAGGTGTTATTTCACCCAATTGTTGTATGATCAAATGTGGGCTCAAAATATTATCAGACCTAGAATATACATTTTCTAAGACATGTATGCCATGTCTAATTCCACATCACTGTGGACAATGGGCTGCCCACAAGTACTCAATAAAAATTTGTTCAAAGAATGATTTAAAGTTCGCATTTAAGAATCTACAGTACTTTTTCTCTGAACTGGACTGGTGCATACCACTGTTACATATTTTTTTTTAAATCACGATTAAGAAAAGTTTTCTGTCTATACTTCGTAAAATACTATATTTCTCTATCTTTAATTTTATTCTCACACCTATCTCCTTATTGTTCAATCTAGGGATGAAAGAGAAGTCTCCTTGAGACAGACTTTAGTGCCTCTTCTCACCTGTTCTCATCATCTAAATGGAAATAAAACCTGAACAAACGGGATCCAGTTCCATCAGGCCTGGGAATATCCGCAGAGGTCTCCAAGACACCAGCCAGAGACACCTGCACACCCTGTCTGCTACTGAATGAGGCACAGTAGGCAAGCTGTGGAATCTGACTACCAGCGGATAAACACACAAAGAAAATGTATAAACCAGGGAGTTGTGTTAAGTTATAAAGAATGACATTATGTCATTGGTAGAAAAAAATTGATAGCCACAGAGAAAATTATACTGAGTGAAATAAACCACTCAGAAGGACAAATATACATTCTTTTGTATGTAGAGTCTCTATTTAAAATATGTGTGTGTGTGTGTAAAATAGAAAAGGTACAATTTTATATTATTTGGTAAGAGGAAAAGGACCAGCAGTTGGAGGGAACAAGAGAGGGTAATGCATGTAAATATGAGAAAAGTACATCATTCACATGAACAAAAATATTGTGAGGCAGTCTGTTACTTTGTACAATGAGTAATGTGATTAATAATTAAAAAATAAAGAGGATGACAGTCAGTATGGGAGCCAGGTACTAGTATTCTCTCGTTAAAAAGAAAGCCCTGAGGTTAGGAAAATGGACATTGATAGTAGGCTTCCAGCCTCTGAAACCGAGGCCAGTCCTCCTGTGGCACAATTGGTGGGGAGCCTTGGAAGACCAGTGGGTACATGGCACGGAAACCGAGAAGCAAAGTTTGAGTCCAGCTTACGTGTAGTTCTTTAGAGAGAATTTGGCCTTTCTTTGAGTGTCCTCTTCCTCTATTTGTAATGCACAGAAGTGAGAAAAACCATGATCAAAAAGGGTAGAGAAGAAAGTGGGAGAATGTGCCTGAAAGGTTCCTTGCTCTGACAATATTTATTTGAAAAAAAAAAAGTAAATGAATACCACTACATGTGAAGATTGCTGCATCAGAAGTAGACGAACTGGATCACTCAATGCTAGCCCTTCCCAGTGTGTTGTAAGAGAAAGTAGTCCCTTCTTTGTTCTTTCAGTACAGAGGACAAAGCCCCAGAGCATGGGGGGGGTGGGGTGGTAACAGACCAAATTCACTTAGATCTTGCAAATCTACAATCTTTTTTAAGGCAAAGAGTTGTTGATGCTTTAGTCCTGAAAACAGCTAATCTCTTAAAAAAAAAAAAAAGACAAAAACTTGGTTAGGTGTGGGATGAGCACAGAGGTAGAAATGTGTGTGGGGGGGGAGATGGTTGCTGGATGGACTTGCTTTAGGAAGCTTTCACAGATAAGATGTGCAAGCCTTTGCAAGACACATTTTCTTCTTCTCTTCAAAACCGATACAAAGCAGGTAAATGAGCAAATATAGTAGGATAAAAATAACAGAAATAACAGAATGGAATACCAGCTTTGCAATAAAATAGAGATGGATTCCAATTTCTGGTCTTTCCGGAGATGGGATTATATGGGTTGCATTATCAACATCCCTAAATCCTGGTGGCCTGTTTGATAAGTTAGAAGAAAACAGCATAGAAAACAGGTCGAATATGAATCATAATTGTTAATGTTCAATAATTTCCCAGTTTGCTGATTAGATAGCAGTAACTTTTTATTATTATTCATAGGGAAGGCTCTGCCTTTGAGGATGCATAAATGTCTACTGTTCTGCTGAGTCTGTTGGAGTCACTGAAATGAATTTTGGATTTACAAAATGGGAGATTTTGAGGGCTAGATGTAAGTTTTTCAAGTTCTCTGATGTATTTTTAACACATAAATAATTTGCAAAACATCAACTACTTTAGCTAAATAGATGTGGTATGGTATGTGGAGACAGAAATACTGAACACCAGGGAGCTTTGGGCAATCAAATGTGAATCAATAGTAAATTGAGGCTAAAATTAAAACACAATGGAAAAGTTTCACACCCTTGAACTCTATGTCCATCATTTTCTTAAATTTACTGCTTAAGCGGGAACCTAATTACTATTATTATTTAAAAAAAAACACTGAACCAAGTAAGCAATAATATGAAATTATTTGGTATGTAGAGCCATGTGTATGAAATAAAGGTGCATGTTTCTTCACAATGCACACCAACCTATGCAAACTTGTTTCTTATGTAAGTATGGGATCATTTGAAAGTTGCCTTTGTGCTGTGTTGGAGGATATGGAGTTAAAGGAGAGTCTAATAACAGTTCAGCTATTGGATCAGGTATATAATATACCTGATATACATATATATATATATGTGTGTGTGTGTGTATTTATGTATATGTGATACACACATACACACACGAGGTAATTTAACCTGCATAACAAAAGGTAGAGTATGATCACAGGTGGGGTGAGGTTATAAATAGATGGACATATGGAATGGTCTTTTATTTCATCCCTGGAGAATCCTTTCTTCAATTTGCCCATTAGTGGATTCAGTAGCATATATAATAGAGAAGAATCATTTTTCTTTGTAAACACAGCTCCTTCCCATTGCATAGACAGATGAGTCTCCAAGCAAGAAGAAGCTCACATTTCTCCTTTCTCCTACAGGTAGAGTGTTACATGTGGAAAATTTCAATGCAGCAGTTTTGTATTATAAGACTTACAATCGCCATTCTTTAGTGTATCTATGTAACCAGGAGACAGTCAGTGTACTGGATACAATTTTAACTTTTGTCATTCGAAGATATGTGTGAGGATCATTGGTTTTAGTATGGACAGAAACTTGTCTACTACCCATCACCTGGTTACTCTTGGAACTTTTTAATGGTTATGATATATGACATAAGATTTTCAGTGATAAAAACTATTTCTACATAAACTGAATATGTGAAAAAGAGTCAACATATAATTCTGAGAAGAAAGATTAAAAAATGGAGAAAAACATAGTGGTCACTACCCAGAAAAGAGAAATGGCTTGGATGAGGTATGAAATGAAATGTTTTATTTAAAATCAAATCAAAAAAAGTGCCTCTATATAAAAAGTGTTTTGTGTGCGTGTGTGTCGATTGTATCAGCCAGGATTTCTTTAACAACTTTATATTGACCATCATTCATTGACTCATGAAATGATTGCTGATAATTAAGTTATGCTTGATGCATTTTATTAAGTCAGATTATAGAGCATCATCATAGGAGACAATCAGAAAATTATCATTGTAAGAGCATAGTATCAACTATGTACTTTACATATGCGAAATTGCTTGCAAATGGATACAGACCTGTGTTCTTTATTTATTCAGGAAAACATACTTAGTTGCCTTGCTTTCTGCTTTTCACCATAATTTACCACTTCAGCATAGGATTTGAGTCAAGCAAGAATGAAGAGGCTTTGCCTTGCTGTGGATAGATATGAAAGTTCCCATTTCCTTCAGGTTCCACTTGGGAACTGAGGCAACCAATACCTTCACTCTCTGCCATTAACTATGTTAGCACTGATGAGAAGTTCTGCTCCGTGGAAAGGTATCTATCTAAATTGAAATAAGAAAATGTCAATAGGACTATGAAATAGCATTTAAAAATGTCACTGAAGTCTACCTCAGATTGACACAAACATTAGAGAGGAAGCATCTCAACCAAAGCAAAGAGGATTCAGGGCTGAGGAGGTAGCTTTGTAATTCGGTGCTTGCCTATTATGCCAGGCTCCAGAATCCATCCCCAGCGACATAACAATATAAATAAACAAGTCAATAAATCTATACAAGTTTATTTTACACATTTTATTCCAACTCAGTGAGAAATGACTCAAATAGTTATGATGATTAATATATGACAGGGATATGTCCATCTAACTTTAGTATAAAATAAAGTTCTGCTTCATGAAAATCTATATTTTTATCAACTAGGCTCCATTGTTCAAGACTCTCTGTCAGGGATGCTTGGCAAGCTAGATGACAGATAGTTGATGCAACATTAGCAGCTTGGAAGGCAAATGGGCAGTGACCTCAGCACTTAAATTTATAGAAAATATAGAAAGAAGGAAGTGGTTTCTATTTCTTACAAGACAATTGGATTCATTCCATTCTACCCTTGAAATTACCTAAGAAATTAAAAATGTTAATTATCTCACAAAATGTGTAGAAAAACACAGAAAAGCATTCCTTCCTTTCTTTTCTTTCTAATTTATTTTTATTATTTTTTCATTTATTTTATATACCAATTACAGTTTCCTAGTAACACATTAATTTCTGGTTAATTCATTTTAGTCATAACCACATCAAAGAAATTTAAGTTAATCAAATTTCTGTTTCCAGTCAATTTTTGCTTTTCATATTTCTTTTTTTAAAAAATAAAAATATCACATCAATGTGCACCAATGGAAACACTTAAACACTTTAAACAGTCTAAGAAAATAGTCATAGTGGTCACTGCTGTGAAACTAACATCACTGGACTCTGGAAAATACCATAGTGAGAAGCAAACTCTAGTCCCACTGCCAGCAAAGTAGGAATCCAAACTCCCTGGGGTTTTGAATGGGGAGGGGCATGAGAACAGTGCAGATGTTATTCAGTCTCTCTCTCTCTCTCTCTCTCTCTCTCTCTCTCTCTCTCTCTCTCTCTTTCTCTCTCTCCCTCCCTCCCTTCCTCCTTCTCAGAGAGAGAAAGACAGAGAGAGAGAGGGGGGGGGAAGAAGGAGGAGGAGGGCAGAGAGAGAGGAGAGAGGGGGAGGAGGGGGAGAGAGAGTTTATTCCTCTCAATCTAGCTTTATGCACTTCTAGCACTTCTAGCAGGCCCACACATGCAGTGGCTTCATATCGGGGTAAGAGAGCAACAAGAGGCAAGCAGGTAATAGCCTTTAGAATGCCATTTTTTTTTTTCTTTTTCCATAGAATACAGTTGGGAAAATTTTCCAACTGCAAACTGTGGAAATTACATCATGTAAAAAAACTGTTATTCTATGAATTCTCTAGTCCTCATCAATATAGTGCTGGATGTATATATTTACGTATTTTTACATATTTGTATTCATTTATTCCCATGCATGTATCTGGAACAATTAGTAAAGCCCTTGCCTCAAGATAGAGATAGAAACATTCAGATGTTAGAAATGAGCCTATATTCTTCACTCCCAAATTTCCAATAAAGGACAATACTCCATCTAGAATTATTTGATGGGTAAATCTGGAAAAAGAGAAAAAGTATTCCTTCCCTTTGCTGACATCAACAGTAGAGCATCCCTACTCTTCTGAGGAGAACTTAGAGAACAACCTGTTCTCAAGGAGTGTGTTGTGGGCTCCATGTTTCTCACGTTGATGTGAATATATATACATTATTCAGACAGGCATTCTAGGGAACTTATTTAACCTATACATGTACATTTACTTCATGTCATTTACTCTCAACACTCATTCTCTCTTGAGCTGAAATACTCACTACTTAAGGGATACCAAAGGCACTTTTATTTATGTATCTGTCCTGAGAATCTGTCTTATAGTTGGTGTTTCAAATCAAGAGAGAAGGGAAGGAGTGTTGTGAGCACTATTCTGTGCAAAGAAACAATCTAATGCAAGCTCAGATATCAAGTTCCCAAGAGAAAAAAATATGTCAATTTGACATTTGGGCATATACAATATATTTCAAGAACTTGCAACATCCACATTCTTCAAACTGGGAAGCACAAAGAAAATCACACAATGAAGAACTTGAACACACTAGATTAAACTTTGTTCATGTTAGGAATGTTTCTAACGCAAGCTCTCTGCCGATACAAAATCCCAATCAAGCCATATCACAACAAACCCAATTTAAAATATCCAGGTTTAATGGGATTTCTGAGCTCTTGCGTGACCCCGAGGGGAAAAGGGGAAGCCGCAAATGCGACCACCAGAAAGAAAAGGAGAGAGACCATGAGGAGACTTTCCAGGGGAGCAGTTTAAATAGACTGGGAAAGGGGTCAAGATTTTTGGTGGGCTGTCTTGACCCTCCTCCAGGGAGGGGTAAAGTTTTGGTGGTCACAGGGACAGGGCCTCCAAAGATGGAGACCAGAGACCGGGACTTAAAATTCACACATCAATATAAAAAAGACAGCATTTCGTTGTTTTGTTTTAGTAGGACATGCTGCATGCATGTATTTGTACATCACATATTTGGATATGCAAGTGTATGCAGGTGCACATGTGTGCACATGCATGTGGAGGCCCAAGGTTGACATCAGGTAGCTTCACCTATCACTCTCATAAATTGAGGCACAGTCTTTTGCTGTGCCAAAGTTTGTTACCTAGTCAGTCTACTGTGTTTGCTTTAATCTTCCATAATCTCTGCCTGCCTTGAATTGGGATTACAGGGATCCAAATTTGATCCACATGCTCACACAGCAAATGTATTAATTACAGAGTCACCTCCCCAATCTGCAACATTTAAAAAGCTGGGATAATAAGGGATGGTTTCAGTTAATTAGATTGCCTACAGTGTAGATTGGTATTCGTAAAAAACAACATTGCGTTCATTATGTTAAGATGCAGTCAAGTACATTCTCATAAACATCAAGGTGTTAGTACAATAATATTTTAATTGTTTATTACAAGCTCCAGGTCAGGCTTGCTGTCAATGCTGGTATGTTATATATACATAGAAACCACAAAGAAGTTCTGCAGTATTTATTGGGTGCCCATTTAAAATCTGAAGACTGAGGCCAACTTATTCTTTATTTTGCAATAATTTAGAACTATTAAAATGTTACTTTAATGTCTTTGATAATTCTGAGCATCATAAGGAACCTTAATATTTTGACTTAAATTACAGTTGCAATTCCCATACTGCTTCATTTGCACAATATACGCAATATAGAAAGCACCATATTCTCAGAAGAGGGAAACAATAATAAATTGACATGTAAAAGTAAATAAGGAAATTTTATAATTACACAGTGGACATGAACAATCACAAAGAAAAATAAGTGGCAGCCATTATGCAAACATGTTAACCTTACCTCTTGAGAAAGAAATCCAGGCCGCTTGCAAGGTTACATAGAGGTAGCGACTCTAGTTGACTGCTTCAGATTTTGACTACCGCCTACATTTAACCCTCAACACACCCATGCCTAAAATAATTCATCCGTCTCCACATAATTTAATGTCCACAAACAAATGTGTATATAATAAATGTACACACAACAGATAAGACTATTTTAACAGTACTTTACAAAAAAATAGGGGTATTGTGTGGATTTATTTATACATTCTTTTTCAATATTATCTTACAGGAATCACGTAATCTGTAATAATTTTAATGCACTCTTGTAGATTCCTTATAGCCCAATAAATTATCTAAACCATTACAGTGGGGGCAGATGCAATCTATCCACTGATACCTCTCTTAGTGGATATGTTCAGATTACATTCATGTCTTTGCTTCTATAAACAATATATAGTCATAAAATTTGTTTACTTACTAGGGATGTATATCCTAATTTTAGGAGAATAGTGATGGAATAAAAAGTCTTAAAATTTTAACTCACGTTGACAGGTTTCTTCCTATTAAATTGGCTGGAATTTTAGGTAGCAACACACAATTACTTTAATTTTTCGGAGCATTTCAAAACTATGATATATGATGTAGGTGTATGCCTTTTCCCTCCTTAATTTCCACATGCTTTGTGAATGCATTATTATTAATGA